ACAGCAGCAATAGCGCCTTCGGTGCGCACTGTACGGCATCTCTGAGGATGCGCATTATCCACTAAATAGAGTAAACGTGGTGCGAAACCGATCCATGGTTGCTCGAACTACCGACTCCGCTGGGCGATTATGTCGACCGAATATTGGACGCATTGCGTTTTTGCAAAACGTCTCGTCCTCTGATATGCACAGTATGTATATACAAATATATGTATGTATGTATACTAGAGGATCACTAAAAGAATCGTTTCGTTTTGTGTTGTGAGCACTAACTTTAGGTCCATACAGTAACTCTTCCAGTAAGTACTTGCAGCAAGAGCGTAAACGAAAAACTTTTGTTACCGGTAAATAAAGTTCCTGGTAATTTTTAAATCCTTTTCGCATTCTGTGCATTGGTAAATTTTGTAACCATCTCATAAGCAGGTAACATAATATTGCCCCGTGAAGTATGCAACACCAGAATTTATACAGAACTTCATAGCTGAATTGCTGAATAGATTAAATTGCTATCAAAGTAATAAGAATTGGGGTTACAAGAAATGGTTTTATTTTTTGGTAAACAAATTTTCCGGTGTCAGAATGTTCGGTAACAAGCAGAATAGGACTGTTTGAATCACCGAGGCGAAAATCCACGTAGCACGGCCGTTTTATTTTTTACCCTATATGAGTAAAAACTATCTAATATTGTTTCTTTTAAAAATCTACCAAACTTCTACCATTTTTTGTATGTAAAATTTGCCACTATTAATTTTTTCGAACTCCGTGCACTGCATGTGAGGAGTTTATAGTAAGGTAATGTAAGTAACGCTAGCACTCTGAGCTTTTAAAATTGCTAATTGAAATTTGATGGAACTAACTAGATAGTGGCCGCCTTAAACGAGCAGAAATCGAAACTGAGGATTTCAGGTGGGATAACATTCAAACAAGTTTTTTTTTCTAATAGTGATCATCTCTCGGCGGGTGAAGGCAATCATCCGATGTCAAAATGGAAGGGAAAGCTTGGCCACACATGTAAGAAAAACATTAGCCCCAAATATTTAAATAACTTTTAAATAGTTAGCTTTAGCCACTTGCAATATACAATAATATTTAATGCTTTGGTTGAGCTTCTAACTGTAGAGTACACTAAAAAGTGTAGCTCAAATATACAAGAGGCCAAAGGTATTATGGCTCAACAAACATACCGAACCGCTACTGGCGTCAAGCTTAACTATTAGCAGATGTGTTCTTGTTTGGTTTGCGAATTTGGCAGCATGCCGATACCAAATCATAAATTCCATAATTGGGGCGTCGACTTGAAAACAAACAAACATATAGAAATATATATACATATGGTACATATCGACGGTACTTTGGCAAAACCTCGTATATCAGAACTCACTACTACTTCGTGTCTCTTAAAACTAATTTAAAATAGGCCATAAATGCTACGATTCGTTATATTCTATTCTTAGTTAAGTAAAAAGTACTTTATATTTAATATTCAGTAAAAACTGATTAAAAATGATCTTCTGACAGTAATCGGACTTCTCCCACATTGTGGTAGATCTATTTCTTTTTTGAGCATCTACCACTTCTACCACACAAGGTCTGAAATCTACCACATATTCCCGTTTTGAGTAGTTTTATTTTTGCTCGACATAATTTTCTTAATTTTAAGAGCTAAAATTGTCCAACACTAAACACTAACAACACAGCCGAATCGGAGGATAAAATAAACTGTAAAATAGTAAATTTTTCGATAGGAAACGTGGTTTTATTGTCTTAAATTGCAAAATATCTGATTTATAAAAAGAATTAATAGCGGAAATGTTAAAAAACGGCGATGCTTGTGAAAGTATTAGCAAACTTCAGTGCATCTAAAGTTTCTAAAGCGTTGTTTACTTTTCCTGGGGGTTTTGTAAAATCGGCAAATACCAAGTAGCGGTTTCTGGAACGTGCCACATTTGTACGCTACATCGTGACGTGATAAAAAGTAAAGCTGGCAGCACTCAGCAAGGTTAGCAGAAATCTCTTAAAATATCGACCCCTTTGCGCAAAATTATCGTATGTTACAAAAACAACATTTTACAGGAAAGTATTTTTTTTATATTTTTCTCTGCTTTGGCTAGCACCATCAATACCAAAGGTTAGATTTGGTGAGATAATTGGAAAATATAACTAAACGCAAGGCTTTTTGTAGGAAGGTCTCTACATTCTAATTTCTTAGCACATATGGTAATTTTGCCCACAAGAAAAAAGTCGTTGTCCCATACGATCAAATTTACAGTAAATTTTTAGGGTAGCTATTGGGATTTAAGCCATAATATTTGAACAGGTGATGGGTTATGGGTTGTAAAACAAAGCTGCGTCAAAAAGTAAATTTCGTAATCCAACAATTTTTAATGAGCTTGAGGCCGTTTTTAATGAAAAACTTATTGTGGAAAAGCTTAATGTGTGTGTAATGTGTGTGTGTTAATGTGAAAAAATGGTAGAAGTGATAGCTATTTCGGAAATCACCACATTTCCTCATCAGACTTCTTTCAGTAGGCTTCGAACCGACGATCCCACTGACTCAGCCAGTTGCCTATGCACTGTGCTAAGTTCGCCTTATAAATTATCGTTGCTTTTTTACCCACTTTTTCATTTGTTATGCCAACACAATCAATTTCGTAAAAAATGTAGCATACGATAATTTTGCGTAAAGGGGTCGATATGTTCGAAAAATATCTTGATATGGAAGGAACTGCTTTCCACTGTCAAGGGGAAAAAATGCCAAACTAAACGCAATTTTTAGGAACTTCAGTCTGCACTTTATTATACTAAAATATTTTTTTTTTTTAGATCCTAATTAAAATGTTTACAATTTAGGTGAAACCTTGCAGAATTTTTTTTTTAGTTTTTGTCCACATTTGATCCAAAATCTGAGATCTACCACATTTGTTTAAAATCTACCACATTTTTTTCCACATTCTACCACACAAATTTTTTTTTTAAGTCCGATCACTGTCTTCTGTTATTAATAGAGAGTATTCTGTTAGAGTGTTGTTTGACAGTGTTTTGAGATACGCGCTTTTGCCTGAGTAGTAGGTCCCGTCGATATGTACAAGTGGTCATGCCTACTGTACTCTGGGTTTGCTTAGCTGCATATGTATAAATTATAATTATTTTGGTCAAATTCGCTGTAGGCGTTGGTGATAATGATGACTGCTTAAGCGCTATAGTGGTAACACATATACATACATATGCAACTAGGTTTGTTATTAGCCGGATGTATGCACTTGCAATGGAACTATGAATGTATGGTAAATGTAAAGAAATTAGTTTATGCAAGAAGGTGTGGAGTTTATTGAAAACTGAAAGAGAGTGAGTGTTACCCAGGAGCGTGGCACCTACAATAGAAGTTGTACATTCAGGGAACCATAGTCTTGGACCCATTACGAACAGACAACTCGACAGAGAATATAAATTTAAAAATTATAGCGCATACTTCTTGCGGTATCTTGATCCACCTAACCGCAATGCAGCAGGAATTATTATAGGATGCGGCAAAGGAGACGATATGTTTCTGACAGGAGATAAGTATGACCTTTTTTAATTAAAAATATAAGTGTTTTCTCTGTTAGATTCTCTTCTTGTGGGCTAATGCATTACACGTGCACTTATACTTATGTCTAGAGGTGGGTAACTCAGCACTGTGCTGAGTTACTGTGCTGACTCTTAGAACTGTGCCGCACGCTCAGACTCACCTCTGAAAAAATTTTTAACTCAGTAACTCAGTTTATGTGCTGACAATTTATAGCTCAGTGTGATATAGAGTCGATATGGTAACTCAGTTGATGTGCTGACACTTGCATAGCTCGGTGCGGCTTGCATTATTTAGAACTGTGTCGATGTGTAACTCAATTGATGAGCTGACACATTCACATTCATTAAACACATGATAAGGATTATTATTATATCATTATTTATTTATGTGTATAGTATTATTATATATATTGAATTATATTTTTCCGTTGTCAGATGCTGAAGTAGGGCAACCAGAAGAGAAATTTTTCACCGGTCTGTGCAACCGGGGAGCCGCAACTGCCACAGGCATTGTGTATACCTACATAATTTGAATTATACATATGTATATAAATTCACTAAACCCTAAAAAATACCAAACACATTTTTCCTTTAATAAAATAATACTACATTTATTTCAAATAAACCATTTAAAATGAGATCATTGGATTTTTAAAGGAAACACTTAAGACGTTTAATACTATAACAATACAAAATTATGACTAATTTTACATAAACGTTTTTAAAACGAGTTGATATGACTTTCAACGACAACACTTAGGACATACAATACTACAACAATACAAAAATATGA